CCTGCCGCACCTTTCTTGCATTTTTATTTCTTGTCACTTAACTGCCTTAGCACTCTGACTTGCAGAGTTGGCAATGATGAGTAGCCGGTGACGTAAGTGTGGGACAGTGGTGGGGAACTATGTTGAGTCGATTTGTCAGGTTTCCTTTTTTAATGTTTACCCATCAGTACTTCTATATTTAGTAGTCTTTTTACTGTACCTTTACTTCTAATTAAGTAAAGAGTGTGAATAGTTATGCCACCTCTGGTCTTAAACACGTCGTCTCACATTGCAGGTTCAAGGAATTTGAACTCTGGGACGTCTGGAATTCAAACTTAATCATACCCTCCTGACTACCAGGAAAAAAATGTTGTCCAATCACATTCATTTTGACATTCCCCAATCTATGTGAAGTAATTGGACTCCTCCAAAAGAAATTTTTGAAATCCCACTACATTTTTTAAACAGGCTCAAATACACTTAAAACAACTCAAACAACACTTTAATGTGTTCATAAGAGTCTTATAATTAAAATGCCAACAGCATTTCAAGACAAAATGTGGTCGATAAAAAGTATTACTTTTCCTCTTCCCATAAAAAGTGCTTGCACTGAGGGAAGCCATTTTCTTACTTTTTCTAACCCCTGCAAATTTGGTATCATTGGAAAGCATTGAATGTCCTCTTTAGAGTAACAAAAGGAGTTAATGCGATTGGAGGCACTGGGTGGGAGATATTTAGGTTCACAAATGTCCTCTACTGAGGACAAATTTGAACTACTGGTAGTCAGGAGGATACAGCGGAAATGACCAGAGTGGAAGCGGCTGAAGACACAGAAGGAGATTTGAAACAGGTCACACAACCAAGCTGCAGGTTCAGTGGGGGCAGCCCGACACACTAAACCACCTTCATTGCTGATCAGAAAGGTAAACGCTTAACTGTGTGTGCTCACTGCAGTTTATAACTTCAGGGCATACATTAAACGACTGCGCCGTGTTTGGCTTGAAGTCAATGGCGTCCTCAAATCAGGAAACTCTCCGGCTGCTTTGATGTGGAGTGCATTGACCACTTCATGAAACAGCAAATACACCAATAAATTTAGGAACTGCAGGCATAACATCTGACCTTTTTTTCCATTATCTGTCTTTTACTCTTTGTTTAATTATACAAAACAGAGAAAAATCATCAAAAATATGTTGATTTTTTTTTTTTTTTTACGCCAATTTGACTAGCACTTATATGTTTTCATATGCAGTTTTGTGGCGAAACACAAACTGGGACGTGGGGGGCAGGATTATTGAGAGAACTTTAGATCTGGTTATGTCAATAACTATTTGTATAGGAATAAATTCAACAACTAACAACGCTCCGTCGCTCTGCCACATTTTCACATCTGGCACCATCAGCCAACATCTGGACCGCTCCAACTCAATCTTCAACAGCCACTGGTGCTTGTGGCATGTGTGCGTGTTAAGTTGCTTCCTGGCCGTGGGGCTGTGGCGTGACCATGACAATGTCGAGCCGATCACACCCTCAAAGTGGGAACCAACGAAACACGACAGGAGTGTCAGTCAAAACAGATCAACCTTCAGGGCCGAAATACAGGAAAAAGAGTTCCTTCCGTCATGTGGGATCACACTCAAGGTCATGGTGTCTGTGCCTCGGTGATGAGTGGGCGAGCAGTGACACACACGCACACGCACGCGCACACGCACACAGACACACACACGCACACACACAAACACGCATGTCAAATGACATTAGGCTCAGCTTCAACGTGAACCTCCATTTTGCACTCACTGAAAAGATAATGCTTTCCTCTGTTGAACAGCATCATCAGTGATGATGGCTACCTTTTAGTCATGTGCACTGGGAATGTGTATAAGGTCGCATGTGTGTGTGTGTGTGTGTGTGTGTGTGTGTGTGTGTGTGTGTGTCTTCATGTTGTCTAAATGTTTTCACATCATGAGAGGTTCAAAGATGGCGCCTTTGAGTGGACAGCTTGTTAAAACAGCTCCGCCAGCTTTCTCATCCATTTGCACTCTCCAGCCTTTTTATGTCATTTAATGTTATTTACGTCAACCCGCTATGGACTGCTTTCAACGTTTTTAGCTGTGACATTCTTTGGCGCAAACTACAGCATGTTCACAATAGCCCCATTTTTATCGAGCAAAATACTGTATATCGAAACTGTTGGACTTTTCGCCGCTTTCGTACAACGTGGAGCCAAATGCGGCCTGGAGGAGGTATGGAGAGGAATGAGAGTCTGAGCTAAAGTGTACGAATATGAATCGAGAGAGGAAACCCAATGGAACAGGAGAATCGTTATATATATATTTTTTTTGTGAAAAAAACAAAACAATACAAAAAAGAGTTCTTGCACTTAATGTTGGTTTCTTGTTCAGCAGTTTGTGACATCCTTGAATGGTAATTTTTATGCAAGAGAGCCCTTTGCACTAATCCAGTATGTGGTTATTTTGCTTTTTGCTTCAAACCCTTTGCTGTTGGGTTTATACATGCATTGAAAAATGTATTATCAAAATTGAAATCCATTATTAAGAGGATGTACGGTATTTTGCACGTATGAACGTATTTTGACCATATTTAAAAAAACATTTTTGTCATACAGTCAGTTAGGGAGTGTGTGGTCCAATATCGCCCCCAGTAGCACTGATGAAAAATTGCGGCCCCCTCCAACATTTAAGTTGCCCATCCCTGGTCCGAGCTCCTCAGCACCAGCAATGATCTGCGAACATGAATAATGTATTTAGAAACAAATACATTTGAGAGTCTGTACTTGTTTACTTCTACGTAAGGGAGAGAGTTGAGTCGGAACTTCTACTTTTATGCGAGTCTTTTTTTTTTTGCAATTCTCTCTCTCGCTCTCTCTCTCTCTCTCTCTCTCTCTCTCTCTCTCTCTCTCTCTCTCTCTCTCTCTCTCTCTGTGACTCGTCTGCTCAAGGGGTGGGTACGACACAAACAGGAAATGCTACAGCAGGACTCCAAAAGCAGTCACAACAGTTCAGAGAGCGCCACCTCTTGGAGCCAGACCATTATGGCAGGCCGCATGCTGGTAAAATTCCATTCCCACACAGCAGGAACGCTCAAGGGCCTGCAGTGAAATTATTTGATAAGATCCGAGCAGAATTCCAGTCACCAATAGGGAGGCCGGGTGGAGGTGAGTCTTTGTGCTGCTTTAAGGATGAACGTTTTTCGTCTTGACCTGTGTCCTCACTAAAGGCTGATGGTGGCTCCGCCTTTCATCAGTGACCCTCCACAAACTGCCTTCTTCACATCAACCAGGAGACAGACCTACGAATATTCCTGTGTCTATTAGAGTGCTTGCATTAAGGGAGAACAGTTCTCTATTACTGCAGCCAAAAGCTTCAGTGTGGGTTTTTAAAAGCTCCAGCTTGGAGCATATTTAATGAAGAGACATGCCGCCAGTTTCCCCTCAGGGGCTTTTTCTGCATAAATCCAAAGGCCTTCCTCCTAATATAAAATGTGGACGGTGATGTCATACTTCAAGTTACATAACAGCTCCTCTGATCTTCATTGTATGCGTTACAAAAACATCTGGAGAGAGCATTTCACTCTGGAGCTGATTTAACTAAAAACCTTGATTCACTTATATTGAACATATGGGGTGCATTTTCTGGTGCAATAACGTTGCAAATATTACATATTTACAATCACTATTCTGCATGTTACGATCTGGACTAAACACTGTTCACATTATTTTATCATCCATACATATATACCTCTCAATTTGGAACCATTGCTCAATTGTGACAGCAGAATTTGACATTAAAATTATTTGCATTTCATTATTTTAATGGTTATAGTTTCCCTTTATTAAACACTTGATTAATCCCTGGAGGGGCCACACAATCGCCTCTTTCTGGTTTCTGTTGTGAAAATTAACTATGTCTGAGAGACTCGTATACTTTGTAGTTGCAAAACAAGCATACAGTCTTGTATAAAGTACCCGAAAGCAAACTTTGAGGAAAAGTATCTTAAAATAGATTTGGTCACATCGATTTGACAATTTTATTTGTATTATATTATTTATCCCGACCCGCCCCCGCCCCGGATAAACGGAAGACAATGGATGGATGGATGGATGGAATATTTGAACTGTGTATGGCGTGATTCATCCTTTACAGGCCAGTAGATGACGGTAATTGCCCTTAAAGGCTATTGGCCAATCGAAGTTTAGAGAGGAAGAAGAATCTTAGCTCGTCGACTTCCGTTTCTCGGACGGTCGACAGCACCACCTTGCGGCCAATTTATGCAGCGCTCTTATTTGTATCCAACATGGCTGCAATCATGCGGACATACAGTAACACGTTTTGTTGACTGTGGCTCTATGCGTGAAGGAGTTCAGGTAGTCGCACACACAAACACATCTAAATGCACACAAAATCCTTATTTTTAAAGCACTGACCCACATTTACATCTTATTTGCCAACATTTGTCCTTTGAAATGGTTTTAATAGAATCCCAACAGTCTATTCTCTTAATCTTACTTCCATAATGTTTCTCTTGGATGGAATCTATTCAATTTCAGACTTAATGTGTTACCATGTCAGTCCAATTTGCCCAGGGCCTTCAAAATCAGTATTGATTGCCCATTTAACAACTACAATGGAAGATGAGTCAAGTCAGCCATTGCGGCTCAACACACTGCGGCAACAACTACAAAATAAAGGCATACCTCGGCTTTGATGTCCATGTATTATTTGTTTAAGAGCAGTGATGCACCCGGACTGGCCCAGAAATCTGCCAGGCCTTCTGGAAAATCAGGACATTGTCCTGAAATTCCTGATGAACACCACGCCCTGGTGCAAACTGCAATAACTAGAGGGGAAAAAAATATGCAGCATATACACCTATCAGTTCAGGATTTTCACTGTGTACAAATCAAGTGCTAATGTTCAAATGTATGCAGTTGTGCAAATATGCCCAAGTCCAGGTTTCAGCACACTGAGAAATTGCTCACGGACCCGAACTTATAATGACATACTGACCTTCTCTGTGATCCTAACAGGTGTGACGTCACCGCAGGGGAGCACCTTGAGAAGACGGACATCACCAAAGTTCTCTACAGGCTCCTTGAGAGCAACTCTAATGGAGGTGTAAAGTGGGCAGGATGGTAGAGGCTTCACATGAATAGAATTCCCCAGGGTTGGAAAAGTACTCACTCTCTGTACTTACCAGAAGTACAGATTTATGTGTAAGAAAAAGACTCGAGAAGAAAAACTAAAACCTGTCAGAAAATTAATAGTCATGTGAAGTGCAGATACCTGAAATGTCTACTGCAGTACATTAACAAAGTATTAATATAGTATTAACAAAGTAGTACTTTGTTACTTCCCGCCACTGAATGGCAGGGAACTCGAGTCGTGCTCCTGCAGAGCAAGAGGCCTTTTACTCTTCATTAGCTGGAGAGGATCCCTCGGATGACGCCACCGCCTCTCTGAGATCCAAATGTCTTCAGCTCCTTGTCTCCACCCTCCGCCCTCAACCGCACGACTTGGACAAGGCCACGGAGCTGGCCGCACAGGTTGAGCAGCACATCCACTGCATCCACAAATGCAATCAAGTCAAATACAAAGCCTGTGTGAGAAGTAAAGTAGCCAACTTGAAGAATCCTAAAAACGGACATCTGCACCTGGGCCTGATGAGCGGCTCCCTGACGCCGGAGGCCTTCGCCCGCATGTCAGCGGAAGAGATGGCCTGCGCCGAGCTCCAGCAACTGAGGGCAGAATACTCGTCTCGTGGAGTCAGCGAGCGGCAGCTTCCTCGCAGGGTCGAGGGGACTGAGACGCGGCGGCTCCGCTGCGAGCGCTGCGGCAGTTCAGACTGCAGGGTGACACAGGTGAACCGAGGGGCGCTCTTCCTGCCAGCGTGGGTGCGGCGTGGAAGCCCTGACGACCAGGCGATGACCTTTGTGACATGCAGCAGCTGTGGGCAGCAGTGGTATCACAGCGGATGGGTATGCCTCTGATTTTTGTTGTCGAGCCAGCTTCTTTTACAGATAAACTGTTGTCAACACTTTGTCTGGCCAATCTCATTTTAGTCATGTCCACATGGAATATCAAATCTCAACATGATGGTTATTCTTTGAACGTAGCACAAATCTTGAGGAACTTTGTGTACAGTGCACACCCGTCTTTTCATTTTAAAAATATAATGTGGCTCTTGAGCACAAAACTTCAACACACCCCTTAATTCGAGTTTTCAATTACCCAGTCATTTGCTGGGGGAAGTCAACATCGCCAAAGAAAACCCGAACAAAACCCCACACAACACAGCATGAGTCAAACCTGACAACTCAGAACTGTGAGGCTGATGTCCTAACCACTAGTGCGCCATGCCGCCTGACGTGCACAAATATTTAAAGATGTTTTGAAAAAAATAAAACGCTGGCCGCATCACCATAGCATCTCATGTGATCAGGCATATGACCCTCCGAGGAAATTGCCTAGCATGTGAATCTTTCAAAGTGAAACAGCCTGAGGTCCTGTCAATGTGACATATTCATGAATTCTGTTGTCCTTGTGAGGTTCTTTTTTTTTTTTTTTAACTCTGTGGACTTTAATATCCATCCATCCATTATCAGAGCAGCTTATCCGCACGAGGGTCACGCGGGTCACGGCGAGTCTAGACAGGCAGGTATGAAGGGGCAGCCACAAATCTTGAGGGGGCATTGTGCTCCAGCACTTTTTATCATGGTTTTGTTTGTTGTTGTTGACTGAACAAATAAAGATTTTCAAGAAAACGATTAACTCTTGCTGTTATGTTTTGAGCAATAAAGTATGTCACTACACAAAACACGATGAGCAAGTTTAACAAAGTCCCTTTGCAATTTCCTGTTGTTAGAAACCTGAAACTGGCTCATACTGAAGGGGTGATTGGAAGTTGAGTCTCCACTCGCTCCAGACAGCTATCCCTCACAGCGAGCCAGCAGAAGGCTGATACTCTGAGCAGAGTGAAAAGGGGGCATGAGGCGGTGTTGAGAAACATGACATGAGAAACAATTTTCATAAATGTTACATTTAAGGCGGCAAGCAAGACAGTAAGAAGTGGAGTGCAGGTGAGAGGCATGAGTGAATAAAAATAGATGAAAGAAAAAATATTCTGTGGGGGGGGGGGCACAACATTTATTTGAGGGGGCTAGGCCCCCTCTTGCCCCTGCCTAGACCCAGCCCTGGTCTAGGGAGAGGCTGGGTCTAGGGCTTCAGCACGCCGGGCGTCCTGGCGTGCTGAAGCTTATATCCAAAATTAATCTAGGGACCTGCCCTGCCTAATTTGAATACCTGTATGACCTGGATACATTTGTTTACAACCGACTACTTTTATAGTACTGTACGCATTTTTGTACGAAACCAGAAACGCATTTAACCAAGAAAGAAGTCACTAAAATCAGAAATGCATGAATGATTCTATTTCTCGCCGTATCCACGGTTAGCAAATCTAATGATACTCCACAGCCAATGCGCATGTGAGATGCATACAAAAGGCCTATTTTTCCCCACTGTGTAAAACAATAAAGTGTGGAAACTTGCACATGACGAGTGGAGGCGTGACCCAGATGCGGGGCGCATATGAGCGACCTCGGAGTCGAGACAGGCACCAAACGCCTGGTTGCCGACCTCCCGCACAAGTTCCCCGGTCGGCTGAATGGAGCAAGTCAACGTAGAAGGTAGGGTTCCATTATCGGACATGTCCCACTTCTGACGTTGAGGTGGAATCGCAGCATGAAGACATTTTATCTCAAAAATAAGAATTTAAACCCATTTGCTGATGTCTTTACATGCGACCAAACTTAAAGAAAAAGTAAAATAAAATTTGAAAAATATAATGCGTAGTGATGGGAAGTAAAGAAGTACAAAGTCACTGCTACTATAAGGTAGTAAAAGTACTCCATACTTCACTTCAATTTGTCAGGTAGATTACTTGTTTTATACTTAGTAGGCCTACTTAAGCAAAATCGTCTGTTTAATAATTCTGGTTTCATGTAAATAAGCGAATCTTTGGAATTTTAACCATATGCCTAAGCAACGGGAACGTGTTTAAATTTGTTCAGAAAACAAAAAAAAAATCAAGCCAATGCTAACTGGCACCTAACATGTGGCAAAACATGATGACAACATGATGTTTTTTTCTTCACAGTTATCAACACTATGTAAATTAATAAAAGAGGGAAAATATTTGTGTACAGAAGTGTTTGTTTTTAGCTTAGCAAAAAAAAAAAAAAGTCACGGGTATGCCAGCATTTTCCCCCAAGGACACATGTGACAGCAGCAGTCTGGTGTTTCAAGGTCTGCCGCTCGAGGCTGCTAACTTTCAGCAATAGGATGGCATCTCAAATACATCCATCCACTCACTATCTGAGCTGCTAATCCTCACGAGGGTCGTGGTCATGCTGGAACCCAACCCAACTGTCTTCTGGCTGTAGGTAGGGTACATACGAAACTGGTTGCAAGCCAATCGCAGGTCATATATAGACAAACACGCGTTCACACTCACAGTCACGCCTACGGACAATTTAGAGTGTTACATTAGCCTGCCATGCATATTTTTGTAATGTGGGAGGAAACCGGAGTACCCGGAGAAAACCCACACATTAGCTTTAGCGTTGTTTAAAAACAACATGTGTCTTGTATATAAACGTGTGTGTGTGTGTGTGTGTGTGTGTGTGTGTGTGAGATTCTTTTTATTGTGCGTTTAGTTTTACGGTAAACTCCATCTGCGGTTTAAAGCACGCTCAGGGAGGCCAGAATAACGTCAACATACTTTCACAATGCATGCGCACATTCCACTGTTCAGCACATTAATCGTTTTTCTTCTATGATGTTAATTTTTCAGATTGAGAGAAGCCAAAATCAAAATTGCGATGACATTTTGATGAATTGCCCAGCTCAACTACCCACCCATTTTTATCCATGGTTCAGACCAACTGTTGTTGGGCGTCAGCAGGATTTGGATCCTGAGGCCCTGTCCACAGTCAGTGTTGTTACCACATTTTCTAAGAATGAATGTAAAAATAAATTTACTTCAACCTTAGCCCAAATCGTTCAAAATGAATCTTCTACCCAATCTTCTGGGCCAACTCAGTCGGCAAACATCAACCATCAACACAACCAAATTGTATCAAAAATGGCAACTAGCTTCAGCTCTTCCGCTCGCCCAAATCTAGTCTCGACTCTTGGGTGAATATATAGATGAATGAATACTTTATTGTCATTGCACACTTGTTACAAGGAGATTTTGCAGGAGCCTCCACCCCCAAGTGTATCGTGAAATATAAAAATATAAAAAAAGTATATAAATACATTGCACTCCCCTAGACTTACACACAATCACATACACCCCATAACCCACCTTTCTCCAAATGTGCGGCTACCCAGCCAGTGGGGTAGGAAACCAACAAAGTCTTTTTTTGTCTGTTATTGTTTCGATCGGCATTGGCAACATTTGATAATGTGATCTTTTGCTTCAACAGTGGCTATAAATGCCTGCTGATCGCCTGAAGCCCGGCCACACTCAAGCCATGGACCCCAAGTCACCTCTGTTCAAGGTCATTTTATTGGGCGACGGCGGTGTGGGGAAGTCCTCCCTCATGAACCGCTTTGTTACCAACAAATTTGATTCCCACCTCTTCCACACTATCGGCGTGGAGTTTCTCAACAAGGAACTAGAGGTGGACGGCCAAAGTATCAGCTTGCAGATCTGGGACACGGCAGGCCAGGAGCGCTTCCGGAGCCTGCGCACACCCTTCTACCGCGGCTCCGACTGCTGCCTGCTCACTTTCAGCGTGGATGACGCGCAAAGCTTCCTCAACCTTGGCAACTGGAAAAAAGAGTTCATCTACTATGCTGACCTCAAGGAGCCCAACATGTTCCCCTTTGTTGTGCTGGGCAACAAACTGGATGTGGACAAGCGGCAGGTGTCGAGGGAGGATGCGCAGCAGTGGTGCCGTGACCATGGAGGACTGGCCTACTTTGAGACCAGCGCCAAGGATGCTACTAATGTGGCATCTGCCTTTGAAGAGGCGATTCGTCGAATCCTCACGCTGGACAACCGCGCTGACCACCTCATCTACACCAACATGGTGGACCTGAGTACTCAGAGAGGCTCTGATTCCAGCTGCTGCTGAAGTGGTCTCGACTTTGGGTATCCTATTCCTTCCTCTTCCCTCCTCCCCATCCATAATAGCTGTAGCAAGTTATGAACTATCGAGGTTGGTACCGTCAGAGCCGATCCATTCCTCCATAGGGCCCTGAATAAAATTTGATATTGCGAAAAGACGCACCAATACTGTACGTCTGTACTCATACTCTTAAAAATGCTCATGAATCACCACAAAGAAGGTCATCCAGCGACGGCACCTGCCTGTCTTGAGCAACCATGGTTTCAACTACAATTGAAACCTTAAGTGAATGGACAGAGAACAGTCTTCAACTCTGCTTTGATCATTGAGCTGGGACATTTAAAACAAACACACACACACACACACACACACACACACACACACACACACACACACACACACACACACACACACACACACACATATGTCCAGCAGATAGCAGCATTGGGTCTCTTGGATGAAATCACCGTACATCAAAACAGTGCTTGATGCTCGTGAATATGGCAAGGGTTTGTCATATTTTATATATATCTATATGTATATAGACATATCTATATATAGACACATCTATCTATCTATCTATCTATCTCTCTCTCTCAGAGAGAGAAAGAGAGAGAGAGAGAGAGAGAGAGAGAAAGACAGACAGAGAGAGAGAGAGAGAGATGAATAACATTTAACCATTCTAAAACAGGAGCTCCTATTTAAAAAGGCGTTTGGACTTTAGTTTTCAGGAATGTTTTGAGCGAGAATTAAATTCAGCTCCTATCTATTGTAAATGCTTGTTTATCCATATTTGCTCTGCAGTTGGCAGGGAACCAGTCCAGGGTGTACCCCAGTGTATGCATGACTGTATGTCTATTAATGTGTTTCATCATAAAATTAAGAAAAAAAACACGTCAATATAATGTATGGATGCACATGGAAAGAAGTCATGCGAATTCATGTGAGTCAAATCCATGAACCGATTTAATGCAAGGGTGTGACTTAACGTCAAATTTGCGTGACACATTCATTTGAAAGAATATGAAAGACAAGACAAGAAAGAGGCAGGAGACAACGGTGACACGATAATAAAAATACCGGTTTTACTAGAGAAGGTTACAAAAATCATCACTGTATAGCAGTCATAAAACTATTTCCAACTTAAAATTAAAAGCATAAGGAAACACCTACATAGACTACATTGCCATCAAAGTACAATGGATATTTTTTCTTTTTCTTTTTTATAAAAGGGGCAAAGGGTAGGGGTGCAGAGGAAGTGGGGAAAAACACCGCCTACCAAAGTTGTCATACAATTGACTACACGTCACCTGAAAAAACTGCAAAGACAGTCATGTCTCCTTCATGCAAATAACAAGGAAACAACAACACCCTGACATGAATTGTCTGATTGGAAATTGAAGTTTTCCTTTACATCCACCTGGCGGCAGAGGACGTATATTTATCAAACATAGCACACATGGCCATAAAGTCCTTTTTTTTTTCCAATACAGAATAGACAGCTGCACACGTGGACAATACTGACATGCTTCATTTCATCAATTTGTATTTTTCCGTATTTCTTTTTAGGGTTGACTAAGCATCGCTCATCAATTTTACAGTAAAGCTGATGATTATGAAACAATGTATGAAAATTCCTGACTTGTTTTGTTCAGAGTGTAAACATCCAAAAACAGTCTGTGGTTCATCTGAGAGGCTTAAAGAAAGACAGAATAAAGAGAAAGAAAACACTCTAGTGCACTGACGAGTCACTGTTTTGGCTGCTCATTAAAAAAAAGGAAAAAAAAAGATTGATAATCAATGAGGAATAAGAAGAAAAACTCAGCTGCCTAAAACTCAAAACTGATTCATTCTTTCACATTTTTTTCAGTGTTTATATATCACAAGAACCTCAATCCATCGTGTCATGACTGCACTGTATCCCTCACACAACAAAATTATTGAAGATGTATCTTCTATCTACAACTGTAATATCAAGCGCGGATCTAGTAAACACACAAAGAGAACGTATATGTTTGGAAAGAAATAATAAATAGCATGGACAAAAAAACGGATTGCGTTGTCATTGAGTTGATTTGAATATTTTGGGTTGATAAAAGTATTTACAGCTGGGACTTTTTCTCAAAAGGAAGTCATTGTAAAATGTGTATCCTTTCAGTAAGTGCTTTAAATCGGTGATTCGCAACCAATGGGAATTATTCATTTTCACTCTAATTTCCTACAAATAATGTATCGCATTTTTTTTTCAATCTAGCGACGCCAGCAACATATAGAGACGGGCAGAATAATGAATTTCTTTTCCGCTAAATGGCAGGTCTTTAATTAACCAGTCTAGTCATTTTATTTTTTTAAGGATTTTTTTTTTATTTGGTTGTGGGCTGTGTTTTTTTTTTTTCTGACATATATGCCTTGGCTCAATAAAGATTGGGAAACACCGCTTTAGACAGTTTGGAGATATTGGAATCGAAAAGATTTTGATACCTGAGGTGTCAAGGTTCCGTCAACCTTTTGGGAAACGTTTACTTGCAAAGATGATCCATCTGGAGCGTAGGGAGCTCAGCTTTACATCGAACATCGCAAACAAAGTCAAATGCAACTACATGATTAATTTTCAAGTCAGAACACAATTTGGAGATCATGTTGGAGACAAACTTTGTCTCATTGTTTGAGCAGAGCTAATTACGATTGAGACCAGGGGTGCCCATTACGTCGATCGCCATCGACCGGTAGCTCGCTGACTGGTCTCAAGTCCATCGCGAGGGGTGTGGTGGGAAAAAAAACCCAAACAAACATTTCTGTATTTCTGTACATGTTAGTAATATACTTTTTGTGTTATTGCACGCTGCACCCTAACCATCCTATCAGTCTCACTTCCAGAAAAAGTATTTAAAAATAAAATAAAGCAGGGAACCTTGAACCTATGGTGGCAAGTGACCTGCGTCACCGGAAGTTGTTTGCGCTCAGCAGTCTGCAATTGCAGCTTGCGATCAGAGCTGTTGCGATATAGCTTTTATTCTTATTATTCGCATTATTATTATCAGTCAACATTCGTTTCGTGTACAATTCACCGATGGCACTCGCAAAGAATGGCTATCTGGAGGGCCGAGAGAAACATTTTAAAACGCTACATGTGAGCTACGATAGTTAAACAGGCTGCAAAAGTGCCGTCGCATGCATCCGCGTCAGGTCTCCCACTAAGGTAGGCAGGAAATCCTTTTCAAAACTCATCAAGTCTTGTGTGTATTTTATTTTTCTGTTTCGTTCGTCAAGGGGCTGTTATGGCTATTGCTCATCATAGCATGGTGTGCAAGTGCATGCGTATGCGCGCGTGGGCGCTAACGGGTTGTTCGCGGGTGGTTGGTTAATCGAAAAGTAGATCTTTGGTCAAACACGTTTGGGCACCCCGATTTAGACCATTTGAAAGTAGCCATTATTGTTAAGTTGATTATTTTCTCTGTATTTGAATGATTGATTGTTTTGGTTTGGAGCACGAAACACGCCACAAAAATCAATTTTTAAGCGACTACAACTGTTAGCTTTGGTCTGAATGACTGAGCATTAAAATCCTTCGCCAGTGCATTGAAGCGCAGGTAAGCGTTTCCCAAAATGCCAAATCATGGGTGCTAATACAGCCTTAAAATGGCTTGCTTTGCTAAGGGGACAGTCTATATTTTTTCTCGTTTGTACAATAACAATATTTCGAACATCAACAATAAAGAGTCATCAATGTAGAGAAGTAAAATGAAAACACAAGAGGATCTCAAGAGTACCTGGCGTTTTCCAAAAGTATTAAAAAACAACAACATTCGCACACATTCACACAATATATTCATATTCATATATATGTGTATATAAAACATCAAAAAAAAAAAAAAAGAGAGGGAGTTGATTACTGTCTGGCTTCCACATGGCAGGCGCTGACAGTAAACAATGTTTATTTCGGCCGTGCGTCGAAAGGATGTGCCGGCTGGGGTGGCGAGCAAGGACATCAGTCGGGCCACTCGGACGAGACGCAACTCAACAGCCAGGAGATGCTTCGTAAAACCCATGGACTGTATGTGGGCTCAAGCCTGACAGACGAGCTCTCCCATGCAGAACCTTTTTTTGGGGCGGAGGGGGCGGGGTGGGCGTTTGCTCTTCCTCCTGACCCTCAATCCTGTTCCCTTCTGGTGGGAAAACACGCCCACTCCACCCAACATGGCGGAAGGGAAGAGCAGAGAGACTCAGGAGATGGTGGGGTTATTGACTCCAACTAGGGTGTTTTTTTTTTTTTTGTTGTTGTTATTTTATTTTATTTTTTTCATGAAGGAGCCTGATGGGTCCTACGGTGGGTGGGGTGGTGGTTTAAGGTGTGAGGGGTGGGGAGAGAAATGGGATGTGCTGGAAGCAGCAGGGTCGCTGATGCTTATGAGTAGGAGGACGAGTTCTGGCCCTCCTTGGAGCGTGCCTCAGCCTCCAGGTCTTGGTCATCCTTAGTCTTGATGTCCTGATAGTCGTGCGTGGAGACGACATTTTTCAGGTAGGCCCAGTTGGCTGACAAAATCATCAGGTAGTGAAGCTGAGGAAAGACAAGGAAACTCTTGGCATGGACCGTTTGCAGTGTGGCAGGCGGTGGACGATTCCACATTTCAAAGCTGAATTTGGCGACCTACATTGTTAGTTATTCGACTTTACAAGATCAGGATTTGTTTCTTTCCGAGCACCAAGTTTGATAAAACGATCATCGATCTGATGTGTTTTTAGCTCGCCACATTTGAATTCCGTTCAGAATTAGCATTGATTAATGGGGTTCTCAAACCTTTTGGGTCCGGTTACCACTTACGGCAGGGATGTCCAACAAAGTTTTGCAATTTTGTAATGATGGCTTCCCTCAGAAGGCCGTTATGACGGTGAAACAAAAGAAATGTTGAATCGTCTCATCGTATTTTAAATATGCACACACGACAAATTGATGGATTACTAGTTTTGAAATCACAAGTCTCAATCAATGTCCCACCCGCACGCCGGAAAAAAAACCCAAATCATAATCCGAACCCCAATTGAGCATAACTACCATGTGAAGACTGACAGGTTTTTGGAAGTATTAAATATGAATGACCTGTTTGATGAAAAGGAATTGAACCTAATTCTACTGAATTTAATTCATGACTTGTCCATTGTCGTTAGCCGATATGCACTGTTTCCGCTAACAATGTGCCTGCAACCGGGGAGGAATTACTTGACAAAAGCAGTTGCAGTGTTGCTAGTTTAGCAACTTGGTGGCTGTATTTAGTGACGTTTCCGAGCACTCTATTACTATTATACAACTATCTACAAGTATTTAAAAGAAAAGAAAAAAAAAAAGCGACTGTCGACTTCGATTCCAGCTACGAAACAAACAACACGAGGAGATTCATTTTCACTTTGTTTTGCGTATGAGTAGGCAATCATGAAGTCAATCATGCTGCACTTTGCCAATGCGCTTCTAAGATGCAAATATTTTACACGGGTGGTCTTGCTTCACCTGTGCAACTCAACATGGGAATCATGACATGAGTGTCCCCATATCTAGGACTGCACTTTTCAAAATATTTAAACTGGTCAAGAGCCATTTTTAATCAGAGATGGCTTTATGTGTCCCTAATTTTATTCTGGACCCACATTTTAAAAAATCGCGACTGTTTTTCTAGCACATCAGGTTTTTGAGATATTTTCTTTTTGTTGTTGTTGTTGTTTTCAAGTTTGACTTATAAAAAGCTAGCAGATTACAGATTTTACCATGCGATGTAATTTATAGCTGTGATGTTTCAGAGAAACAAAAATCACCTGTTGCTGAACCTAACTCTGATGTGCGACAGAAAAAACAAGGGCGGATTCGGAATTGGTGCAAAAAAACAAAAACAAAAACAAAAAAATCTTCGCATAAAGCATACCTGCATTTCTGATTAAAAAAAAAAAGTATAAATTTATTGACGAGAGGTTTATGAGGACCCCCAAGTTATGGTTCACGGACCCTGGTTTGAAAACAACTGAAGTAGAGGCTGCAGAGATTTGCATCGCAGTCACAGATTGCGTGTGAAACTGGGTCAACACTGGCCAATTATAGCTGTTATCCCAAAGAAGGTCTGTGTATGTTACATACGAAGTCTCACTTTGAATGACGGGGAAACAAACGGGCCCTCATCCGATCTTAAAACAGAAACAGTGACCCTCGATCTGCACACACATGCCCAGAGGTGGGCAGCTGGGGAGAATTTAATTCTGCGGCATTACGCACTGAGCGAGAGAGAGGCAGGGTTGCTATGGAAACAGATAATTGCACCATGCATATTAAGAGACCGAGAGGGGCTCACCAGTGCTATGACAGTCGCTCCAGCACCGGCAAATGCAACAATGTAGAGGTGGTAGGACAGGTAGAACTACAATCCAAAACAGATTTCGGATTAGTGGAAGAAAAAAAAAAAAAAAGATCCAAACCAGAAGAAATGTCCTGCTGAACAACATCTCACCTCACTGGTGTTACAAATATCTCCCAGAGTAGCACCACAAGCTTTTCCTGGTGTTGCATTCCAGGGAATGATACCTGTGGGATCAAAACCTTTAGTCAGGCAAAAATAGTTTCCTTTTCTTCGCTAATCCCAAAAATTATAACACCGATTAAAATCAAGTGCATGGGAATCCAATTATGCAGCCAATGAAGAGCGTGGCTGCCTGTGACTCCGATGTGATCTGTGTCCCACTTGGGAGGCGAGCCAGCTGTGCCTTACATGTGGGTCACATACAGTACACTGGGCCGTCAAACACACAGCGGGATGAAGACAGAGTGGATTTGCAACCAAATCCAATAAGGATTTCTCTAATCTCAATGCATTTTGCATAGCTATTAGAATTGAAAGGCAACTTAAGCAACTGGGTGTCAGAGACAATAATGTTGTAGAGTAAAAATGACATTAAAATTATATCAGTCCATCTATTTTAGCAATCTAAATTTAATAAAGGACAATGCTGGATTGAATATACCCTAATAACAATTTTCTTCCTTATAGAGTCATTTCTGGCTTCACAGTTGTGGTTAAATTACCAGAGGTGATGTTATATGCACTAAATGGTGTTGGTGCCACCTACCATACTGCCTGACATCCACACAGATGGAGTCGGGCGAGGTGATGTTGGAGTCCGGGGACCTCATGGCGGCACAGGTGTTCCACATGTTGAAAAAGAGGAACACCGGGATGGCTGTGAAGCCGAAGATGGCAAGGAAGGCTAGGGCGAGGATGTAGGTCAGGAACATGAACTGAAAAGAGAAAAGAAATGAGGCTCCATGACTCCTCTCGTTATCAGAGTTGAGGAGGTGAGTTTGGCAGGGGGCAGGGGGATAAAAAAAAAGCTTACCCCTTTAAAGGCCAGTGGCAGGTGCTCCATTTGCTACCTAGGCCTTCAGGTGGGGACCTATCTGACTTCATCCTACCTTCTTAATGTCACCACTATGATGCCCCAATTATAGAAACCATCAAAACGATGCACAACCGTGCCATATACATCAGCTGGGGCAATTCAGGATCAATATTCAATATTTATTAAATAAATCACTTTCACCAAAGATTCTTAATAAATGTATTCATGTGTGTAGATCACTACAGATGCGTTTTGCTAGTCCAACTTGGATTGCTCTCAGCCAATCAGAGGGCAGAAAATGCTACTGTTATTGAGATCCAGCTCGCCGGCTCTGTGAGGAACACCGAGGGACAATTTAGAGGGCTCCATTATTAACCTGCCACACGTTTTTGGAAACGTTGGAGGAAACCAGAATACCCGAAGAAAACCCACTCTCTGCAATAATACATGACTACAATTTGGGTTGTAAATGTAGGTCGGTGCTTCTGACAGAATTGAGGGTGAAGGCTTTGCTGGCCATGTTGGCTCACCACTGTTTAAGGCTAACAGTTCGAGCACAAATTGGACATCTGCAGCAATCAGCGTAATCAGGCTAGAAAGGACAAACTGTGCCAGTTTTATCCCCAAGGGATCATGTGTGCACAAGTGTAGAACTATCCACACTTGGGAGTGTGTGAATGTGAGGGTGAGCGAGACATACGAAGGCGGTGATACAGCGTCCGCACACGGTAGTCTTGAAGTCACTCTGCAGCTCCTTCTTGATGGCGCTAGTGGTGTAGAAGCCCTCACCCAGCAGGATGATGGCGTAGACGAAGAAGAAGGAGGCAATGCCATAGATGATGTACTGAAAGATCTGAATGCTGGCCACATGGAAACACGAGAAAGGGTTCAAGTGGAGCAACGGTTGAACTTTCCGAAGCGCTGAGGAAGGGCCAGAACTTACACCATGGTGAGATTGGCGTGGTCGCTGGTGATCCTGGAGAAGTGGTTTTCCACCATGGTCAGGGTGCCGGTGAGCGCTACGTGGCCGCAGCCACAGAACAGGGCCACGCCGGAGAAGCAGAGGATGGTGGCCACCAGGGAAGCGTAGGGCACCCCGCCCAGACACTTGATGCAGCACTCGAAGCATCCTGCAGGAGGCAGCAGTGCAGGGTTATAACGGGTGCCATTTCAAATGCGGAGAGCGGCTTGATGAGTTTGAATGAGTGGAAATCGTCATGATTGTTGAAGTTTTGCTAAGATTTATATGGAAGTGCGGAGCTGCCAATGTGGAGTAAAGATATTTTGACAGGCAAATAAGTTTGAACGTACTCGCGAGTACGGTCGAATGTACTCCCAAATAAACGCATTTGTAGGCTAAATGCAGAAGTGAATAATACCCCGTAGGAAACAACGCCGATCGTAAATCATGCACTGCAGACAGTAAAACCATAAAATTACTCATTAAAAATGTTTACTTGCTTAGTGTTCAAACATAGTGGTATAATGTAGGCCAAATGCTTGAAAAAAACTGTAACTGAGAAACTGAGACATTTTGAGAATTGTTCTTTGAGAACACTATCAGGACGATGCCTGTAAAGCTGAGTCAGTTTTCATCATTTTGTTTCACAGTTGTATGTTACAGGAGAAGAACTGTATTCAAAGATCAACGAAATCTAAATATACAGTACTTTCTCTTCGATGGTTTTCCATCAATTCCAAGATTATACTCAAGTAAATATGTGTGGCAAGCTTGGTAGTAGAAAAGGGCGATTAATCGCAATCAAATACGGAAAACTGTGCGATTAATTAACAACAAAATGGTAGCATTCAGCAATGAATTGCTTACTTTGCTACTCTACCTTCACTTATACAAAACATAACATTAAAAAAAAGCTAATTTGAATAAAGAAAAAATTCTGAAGGAAAAAGGGGGGTCTCGTCAATGTGCATAAGAAAAAATTCAACAATGTTGTTTTGTTTTTAAATAAAGGACAGTATTTAAGTTCTGTGGCAGTACTAGTCTTATAAATGCAAAAAGAAATCTACGTCAGGTAGATGCTCACGTGTGACTACAGTATTCAAGTATTGCGGGTTCCTGCGGTATTGCGCAGTGTAAACGTTCCAATACCGCTAGCTTAATGCTAAGACATCACGGGAAACGCCATAGACAGGTTAACCAACAGCAGCTGTATAAGATGCTTTTAGCAGCAGACGATTAAACACACATGGTGCAGCAACACACATAGACAAACAATTATCCTCTTGAAAAATGACTTATAATACTGCAGTTTACGGAATCATTTTCAATCCTTGTGAAACTTATTTGTTTGATTCTGTATGGCTGTTTTATGCTGTCCCGCTATGCGATGGCCAAGTTGCACACATCAGGAATCACAATAAATTAACCATTAGGCACTGTTTTCGTCCTTTATTTATTTCATTCAGTTATTTATTATGTTTTTATAAAACAAAATATGATATGGTGCTATATTACTGGAGGCTTGAACAGATGAATTTTTTTTTTCAGATGTTTAATGTTAACAGCCCCCCAGTGCACAACCATGCCACCTCCTCTCTTTTGTCTTGAAAGAAACATCTCCAAAAATACCCCCCCTCCCTCGCCCACCATTTCTTATGACCAGATGGCATGAATAAGTCATTTCCTGGTGCTAAATAAATGATTGTAAAGCAGAAGAGATCTTTTCTAGGGCAGCCACAAAGCAGCACTTGAGTGTTCTCCCTCTGAAATGCTGGGATGGACCTGTACGCTCCAGAATCATCACGCAGTTTTCCTCCGCGTATGAACATCAACAGTCAAGAGAATCAAGAGCAACAGGGGAAGGTGGGGGGAGTCTTATATAACGAATTGTTAAAAATAGATTCTTCAGCAAAGCAGGAAGTTTGTCAGGCACGAAAAATAGGATAAAAGAAAGTGTTTTTTGTGCTGTGTTTCCATGGCGACCTGCTCTATTTGGCAACCTCAATGCATCTTTAGCTTTTTGCATGTTCGAGAGCTTGTTGAATTGAGGTATCCAAGGAAAACACAAATGAGCAGGGCTCAACCGATTAATCGACTGATTTTAGCTCTTTTGTAAAAGCCGAAGATTGCCCCACGTTTTTTCGATTGTACTTTTTACAACTTAAGACCAAGATAAAAATTCTCATATTGTAGTTTTGCAAAGTTAAGTTTTGCCTGTAATTCAAATCTTTAATGGTGGCGACCAAAAAATACGTTGTTTTATTCATTACATACATTTCAAATTCATTGGTTGACTAATTAGTGATTGGAATTTTATTCTGTTAAATATCGGAATCGCCATCGGCCTCCCCAAAAATCATTCTCACCCTGCTTATCGGCGCACATTACGGGTGGGTGCCTTTGAAAATATGCACCTGCACTATAGCAGAAATGAGATGTTCTCTGCTCCGGAAGTGCGAAACCTCAAAGTGAAACACTCGCTTGATGATCCATGACAGATCATCCAGTGAGGGCACGAGATTCACTTTCACACTCAACACGAGCCCGAGCTAAAAGCCCCTGTCGGCTTTTATCACAGACCCCATCAATTGACTCAGACAGCTAATGACAGCTCTTCCACAGAATGAATAATCCACACGCACAGACTGGGTTCATCTCACTTGGAGATTGGTTTGCAGCACACACCAAATAAACAGACATCTTGCAAAACCACAGCAAGGGCATGATTTTATTTTGAACCCAAAACTATCCTTTGAGAGTTTTCCATCGACCCGCCATTTTACACTCCCGTGGAACCGTGGTCATTATTGATGGCTTTAAAAGAGCAAATTGATTTTTGCCTTCACAGAGAGGAGGGAAGTTCGTTGTAGTTTATCTGGCAAAACAATCCCGATTTGGATGTGCACAAGATTTGCCATATGTATTATTCATGGGGAAATAACGAAAAATGTAAAGAAGAAATTTACCCCAACCTTGCATGTTGGAATTTCGACTTTAAGCAGCTCTCCAATGCATCGTAAATCCTTGAGGTTTCAGTGTTTCTGTTTGTTCCATTTTTCTATAGAGAGCCAATCGATTTTTTTATATCTAGTTGAAGTGACAAAATACTCCTCCCACATGGTATGAAGACATTTAAATGTATTAAAGCGTAACTTTCATGGTATGAAGACATTTAAATGTATTAAAGCGTAACTTTCAAACACATTCTTCAACCACAATATAGCATGGGATGACTGTATATTGCAGATAAGTCATTCCCAATCACCGCTGTGGAACATTTGAGAGATAATTAATCTATGTTCACTGAAGTGGTCCTGAAATATTACTTTCAAATGATGTAGTTTTGCCCATCCATCTGTGGCAGCGACATAACGTGACAGGCAGAACAACTTCAGCTTTTTCAATAGAAGCAAGGCAAGCAATGTAATTAACCTGTGCATCCACCCTGTGACATCTTAGTGTTGTGCCATGAAAAAAAAGTGAATATAAAGCAGGCCTTGGCCCAATGAAGATTGACAAAAAGTGAAAGTAAAGTGCCAAATTAATGAGCCTCTGTGTGCCTCCACTTTAAGGCTCGAAATGAGTGGTTTCACATCGCAGTTTGTGAGTCCAGATTTGCATTTTGCACCACATCAAACACATTGAATAGCAAAATTGAGAATCAACCGGTGAAGAAGAACCAATGAGACGTTGCCAAAAAGCTTTGCTGGGCTCACGTCACTCACCTACTGCAGTTAGTTGGAGGTCGAAGGAATCTCTGTGTTCTGTACGCCGCTGTAGCTAGCTGGCGCAGAAGCTTCGGCTCGCTACTAGTGCACCTAAACGTGTTGCAGAGTCACTCCTGAGTCAGTAATCGTCACCTCCATGGTGACAAATATACTACATTTCTGACAAGTATCATTGTTATGAGGACATGAGGAAAAAAGATGGAGAAGTCGTGTTAAATACCAAGCTGACCTAATATTGACATGGCTAGCGGGTTTAACACCAGAACCCTGTGATTGGCTGGTACCCGCTTAGCTGTATGAATTTAGCAGGAGCATTCGTTTTGATGCTGTGGGTGCTCAGGACCCCCCCCCCCCAAAAAAAAAAGCAAAACATGTGATTCAGTGCAAGATTAAGTCATAGAGTTAAGATGCTCCCCTTCAAAGTATGCTCCTCATGATGAAGATTCTACGTTGCATAACGGGCGAAGAGGTTTGTTGCATAATAGATCCAAATCCCATTAATGATAATGAAGAAAGGGGCTGATGGGATGGTGGAGGGAAAAATGCTGGATTGGCCAAACTAAAACCCCTCAGCTAGAAACAGGCTGGATCCCAGGGGAGGTTATTGGGGGTCGATGCATTGGTAACTGCGGGGTTGCACACTGACACACCATCCTTCATTTGAGGTCCAATCTTATCTGGGAGTCTTGCACCACAGTCAGAATATTAAGAGCACTTTGGGATAATCCTTCTTCGAGGTAGCCTAATCACCACTTAATTCAAGACCACATGGAGTCTATAACAGAAACCACTTGAAAGCAAATCTAAACTTTTTCATTCTGCTGAGATACGTTGTCTCTAAAGGCTTTACAGCAACAACTCCCAGGCTTCTTTTAAACACACTCACGCTATCCTGGTCTGCCCGTGCAAGTGGTTTTAAAAGCCTGCTAATAGGAAACAGACAGGCCAGAGTGGTCGAGCCTAATGGAAATCAATGGACTATTCATTAGAAGTGAATTGAGGTGACACTCTGAGGTCAGCCCATTGGTCCTGTGTTACACCTCGCTGCATCCTGCCACCTCCCTATTCGGCCTGCCCCTGCCCCCTCCGCGTGAAATATGACCAGTAGCCCACGCTGCACTAAGAGTGCCTCGCCGGCTGAGACAATATGTTACTATGTCGGTGTCAGCCTTCTGCGTCGTATATTACCTCAGCGCTTTTGGTAGCATCAAGGAGAGGGCCGGCTCAGGGTTAGCCTTGAGAAGTTATTCTAAATTAGAACCCAGATTGCTGTGATGATGAGCGTGATGGAGGCAAAGGATAACGAAAGAATCAAGAGGAAAGGATGAGAGTATTAAGCTATTCACGTGGAAGAAATAAAAGTGAAAACATGGCAATTTGATGTGGAAATTTTGTAACACAGAGTGACCAAAATTATTATGGTGTGTCACTATTGTACAAT